TTCGGGTAGAATAAGTTTGACATGTCATATTCGGACTTGTGCATTGAGTCACGAGTATCTTTGTCTCAGTGCACATTAAGTGGATGATGAATGGAATTTATGCAGCTTGATCCAGAGTTTCTTGCATGTTCCGCCTCCACTTACGGTGAGGTTTTGTATGAGAATGCTTATAAGTTGCTTAAAGAGTGGAGGATTGAAAAGAAAATATTTTCAATCACTTTTGATCATATATGTATAATGATAACTTGCAAGAACAATTGCGCAATCATCTAAATCTTGAAAAACCATTGCTTGCTAATGGAATTTATTTCCATATTGGATGTTGTGCTTGTCTATTGGATTTGATTGTGCAATAAGGTTTGAAGGTGATTGATATTAGTGTTGAAATGATTAGGGAGGGCATAAGATATGTGACTGCGTCTGAGAAAGGAGGTTGACTTTTTAAAAGTGTGCAAAACGTGTCGGTTGTGATTTAAGCAAGGGGCTATGATTGAATTTTCCTGCTAAGTGGAATTCTACCCATGCCATATGCTTGAGAGGGTGATACTTTATAAAGATTCTTTGACTGCTCTTGATGAATGGAATGTTGATATTGAATTGGATGATGTACTGGATGATAAGATTTTTAAATGGTTCTTGAATGAAGAAGAATGGGATAGGATTAGTAGAATTTGTGAACTTTTAAAACCTTTATCTCAGTTCAGATATTTGTTCGTCAAAATTAAATATCCAACCTCAAATTTATACTTAAGGTATTTTTTGGTTGATTAAGTTCCGCTTGATGCAACAAATGTAGTGTGAGGATATACATGTAAGGAACATGGCAACAAGAATGAAGGTTGAAGTTGACAAGTATTGGGACAACTACAGTGTTGTGTTTGCTTTTACCATTATTCTTGATCCTCGTTACAAGTTGGATTTTATAAAAGGGGCCCAAAAAAAAATAAATGAGTCAACATATTTGGCCAAGACCAATCATATTGTTAATCAATTGTCGGCTTTACAATGAATATGCAAATGAGAATGCAAGTACAAGGGCACAAGCAATGCAACTACCATGGATGTAGATGACAACGATTATTTAAAGGTAATTTATAATTTGTTTGTTTATTAAATTTCTTTAATAATTTCAAATTAAGTTATTATAATTTTGTTCCTTTCTAATTAATTTATGTTATTTTATTTTTACCTTATGTAGGACTCTGATCTTGTAATGGGTAAATTGGATTCATCTCACTTAGACCAATCCTTGGGGAGAGTGTAGATTCCCACACACAAGAATTAGACATCCTTGCTTATTGAAAACTTAATGAACAGGTTTTTCCGGTGCTGTCTAGGATGATAAGGGACATCCTATCCATGCATTCCAATTACTGCAGAAGTTTCTTAATCTACTTTTAGCATGGGAGTCAAGTTATGACCAAAATGGGTGGTTCTATTATACCGGAACATGCAGAAGCCCTGGTCACAACTTTCGTATTTGGATTTAAGAAGGAAGGTAATATGGACATTCTCCATTAGTTTTTATAAATTTTATCCCTATTTTTATTAAATGGAATTAATGTTTTATAGTATACTAAAAGTATAGTTTATTTTATGGCATAGCTCTCCCGTGCTCTGCTTAGGGTTAAGGGCAACGACGATGGGTTCCTCCCTATTGTTTCTCTCCAATAGTGGTATTCCTTCTTTTCTGCTTTCTTTTTACCCTTACCTTCCTTCTCCTGATCTCTCCTTCACCTTCGTCAACTGTCTTGCTTTGGAAACTTCAACCCAAGGGACCACAAGGCAACGACATATTCAGATCTACATCTGTGGTTGATTTTTGAAGGTTGCAACTGCAAGGGAATTGATCTTGCCAGTGGATTGGGTTTCTCCTATTCAACGAGTAGGAATAGGATGGGATCTTGGCAGGGGTTGAATTCGGCGAAACTAGTTCATTCTAATTTTTGATCAAGTAGCCGAATACAGAGGGAAAGGGATGTGGCTGGTGACACCAATTACAGCCTGCACGGGAAGCAAGATATTCAAGCTGACAAAGGGGCTCTAGTACGGAGGATCGGCAATAAGGAATAGGATATTGTTGGTGAGGCTGATTGTGTTCTGCAAGGGAAGAATAATATTAAGGATGGTAAAGGGACTCTAATTCCCTTAACAAGTTTTAGTTGAAAAGGCTTGAAAAGGATTGGAAAAGATGGGAAACATGGTTAGGAGCACCTAGAGAAGACTGGAGTGCCTTGTGCTTACATAAAGGGGGACCATGCCCCTTCTTCGATTGGTTAATTTTTAGGAATAGATAGGGCGACAACCTACAGGTTAGGGACTATTTGTTGCCAAAATCTCTAGCTCTCCCCATGAAACTGGTTAAATAGATGAAGACATCCAGGAGCTTTTGATGCTCATAGTGACTCTCCTTTCTATATTAGTAGTCCTATTTAGCTCATGCAATGATTGCAATTGCAAATGCAAATGACTCTATTTATTTAATTGTCTATATTCGTCATGGATATAGTTTAAATTTGTTATTAGTGCTGTAGGTTATGTTTCTAATTTTGTCTTTAAGCTATAATGCTTTAGGTTATATGCCCTGCAATAGAGTTTCTTCTATACTTTCTTATTATTTAATATAATTTCTCTATTTC